CATCAACACATTTTTCTGGATTGTGCTGTTGTATTAGTTTTGCATTTAATTCGGTTGTGATTTTTGACTAACAGGACATTTGCAAAACGACAAGAGCACAATATTCGAAATTCAGCATTGCATGGTCAGTTTGGTGTCAGAATTCGTTGAGGCAAGTTGATTGTTGTATTGATGGTTCATTGATTGTTTCTCCAAAACAAATTGTTAATTTAGTCAGTGTTTGATCGAAAGTGCAATAATTCTAATCAATTTGTTCACCATTTTCATTTTCATTTTCATTAGATCAAATTTGGTGAGCATGAAGAGAAAGCGGGCCCAGAACGGGCGACCGAGATCGGTCAAACTATCGCTGAATTCGGTTCTCCGGGATCAATATCGCGCGAATTTTGTGGCACAAGTCACCAATTGGTGCCACACAGCCACCGTCATCACCGTTTTGGCGTCATTGTTGTTTCTCTTCGAGAACAACCGAGCATTCGATGAAGATAACCATGACTTCTTCAGAGGCAATGGATACGAATTGATCAAGGATTGCTTCAATAACATTTTGAACGAGAACCGACACAAATTGCCGTTGGCCTTCCGCCAAATAATCGAAGCAGCAGTGCCAAACTTCCGATGGCCACAACGTGAAGGCATGGGAAACGCATTCAATCAGCTCATTGATCAATACACCACCAATGTCAAGAACAACATCAAAACGTGGTGCTACACCCGTATCAAAACGTTTTTCGTGCTGCAACGGTATGAGCTCAATTTGCTTGGCCATAACATCAGCGACATCGATGTGAAAAATGCCACCAAATCAGTTATGTTCAACAATATAGTACCAAGTGCGAATGTGGTGCGGCTGCTCGAGCAAGCGCGTATGATCGGAATACCAGTCGGTACGAAGTTATGTGATCTCGTCCGTGGTAGTTGGTTCCAGACAATACCGATATTCATCACCATTCAACGGCTAGTGTTCAACCACCATGAAAGATACGAGCTCTTGAATGATCTCTGGCGCCGATATTATCGGGATCGATTACACAACGCCATGCCATCCATTGCACGCCCACCGAAAATAAAAAACTTTCGTGTAATTCCGATTCATGACTTCAAGATGAAGCACATCCGGATCGATATTCATCTGTTCTATCAAATGGCGTGCAAATTGGGTGCCATCAAGTTGGCAAAAGGATTGTTTGGCCAGCCGGTTAACATTTCGAAAAAGGTCTACGACAGCAATCCATTTGTGTCCTGGGACACAATATTCAACATGGACAAGATTCAGAAAGTCGGCAATCGCAAGACATTTGACTACACAATCGTGACGGATAGTGTGGCTGTTTCGTTGTGTTTCCTGAAGCCAGAATGCCCCTCACACGAATATTCGCACGAGCAAATCAACGACATGTACGAAAATGGTGTTTTCCGCTTCGTGCTTGGCATGGATCCTGGTGTGCGAACCTGGAATGCCACGGTGCGAAAACATATCGCATCCGGTGTGGAAGTGAGTAACAATGATTTGTTTGTTTGTTTTGTCAGTCATTTCTTTTATATGCATATAATCATGATTCTTTGTTCTTATTTATTTCACACAGGAAAACATCACGATCGACGGTCCGAAATACCATTTTCGAGCGAAATATGGCAAACGAAAGCGCAAATCGGAAAAATGGCTACGATTGTTCACCGAATTGGAGCAACATGACCGAAATCAATATCCATTCTATCCATCGCCCAAGGGAGCCTCAAATTGGATGAGTTACATCGAACATCGTGTGAAAATGTTGCAGCCTGGAATGGAGGTTTACACAGCACGCAAATACATTCGCCTCAATCTCGATAAACATATCGAGGAGACCCGTGCAAGTGATACCATCGCTGCTTTTTTGACCAGAAAATTACCATCGCTCATTTTCCTTGGTGCAGCTCAAATGGCTCCAAATTCGCCAATTGGTATTAAGAAACGGTTGCGGTGCCCTGGTGTACGGAAACTACTGAACAGCTTCAAGAAACTGCACAATTGTGTGGTGGTGATGGTTGACGAGTACAAAACATCGCAGACGTGTGCAAAGTGCTTTCGGCCATTTGATCGACGTACAAAAAAGGACCGCTACAAAGTCTGCCGTCAGTGCATTCCACATGCAGCAAACATCACGACTGACAAACACCTGAGCAGTGTGATCATCAGCAAGAAAAGCAACCGGTCGTATCAACGAGAGCGACGACATGTTGTTGCGGAATATGAACGATTGAATGTACATCCAGTGTATTCACATGGTTTAGTGCCGAAACACAATGTATGGTTCAAAAACTGGCAGCTAAACACTGATAACACATGGAACGATTCACGTCATCCACATCAACAGAACACTGTTTGGCATCGGGATGAAGTCGCTGCCAAGTGCATATTGTACAAAGGTATGTATCATACATTGAAAAAAAAAAGTGAAATATTCTGGCTAACAATTGTTGTTTGTGATTTCGGTTGTTTCAGGTCTTTGTATGATAAAGGGCTTGGATGTGCATCCGCAACTGTCGAGACAACATCATGCAGCAGCTGCAGCCGCGCAGAACAATGCCGAAGGCGACCAAGATGACAACGATAGCGACAGCGACGATGATTACGTTTACGTTCTCGACGACGTGTCCGATGAAGAATAGTTTTTAGTTGATGTAGGATTAAGTTTTCAAACAATAATAATTGTAACGTTTTGTTACTTTGCTGGGCTTTGAGTATTGTGGCCTTGTCCGAAGTACGGGGCTTAGTCGGATCATATAAAATACCTCGTAGGTGAGTATCACTATTCATTAGCATATTGAATATTGATTCATAATCGTTTTTATATCATTCTAATTGATTTGTTTTTACTGTTCTTTTTCTACTTCCATTGTGACGTTAAAAATGACTGAAACTACACCCAAATGTGGGCCCAAATTCAACCGTTTACATACGCTTGGCAATGGATGTATTTGCGTTAACAATTGTTAGATGCCAACTTAAAAACAATAGAATAATTTATTGTATCAGAACTGAGTATCTTGCATTCATTTTGATATTCATAATACAGTATATGACGCTAAGAATGCCCAAAAACTGCTACTTTCAGTGAATTTTCTTTTTCATACATATAACACTTTTTGGCCCAGCGTTGCGTTTTCGCAACGGGCCGAAAAACAGTCATTTTTAGGGCCTATGACGAATTCAAATTTTTCACAAATGTTTATAGATCGATAGCTTGTCTTCTTTTCTCCAAGAAAAAAAATTGGAAATCGAATTAAAAAAAAAAAAAAAATTATGACAATTTCAAAATCAAGTCAGAAATGTCGATTTTTCCGGATTTTCCGACTCTCGGAAAATTGTTTCGTTTTCCGAAACCGGAAAAATCCTAAAACAGGTTGATTAGATATTCCAATAAACTACATTTTCTATCTAGACACCACTTCGATATTCCGTAAGTGATAGGCCCCAGGTGGGTGAAATCTGAACCGTTGCGTTTTCGCAACGCGGGGCCAAAATGGGTTAATGAAAAAATTCACTCGTTTGTCAAAAAATTTCGGGTTTTGGAACAATTTTTGAGCGTTTGGTGGATTAACCAAAAAAATTGCATACTCTTTGAGCTATGGTCGGAAAATTGATTTTTTTCGTTTTTTTCGACATTTTGCTCCAAAACATTAACTAAAAGTTTTTTTTAGGGTATAGTATGTTCATAAAATTTGTTTATTGGACTCTTTTCTACAACTTTGCCATTAACAGCAACATAATATTTCGAATATTTCACAAGATATGGCCTAAAATCTGCATGTTCCATATTGAGAAAAATCGACTGAGCAACGACAATTGCCTATGGCCATTACTTTCTTATACGAGCTAATAATCCAAAACGCCGGCGGGGTTTTGCTAGTATGTAGGAATACTTTCAGGTCTGATATGCCATTTTGTGTCCTTTTTACATGACCCGAATTTTGTTGGACTGTGTGATGATATTAGTCAGATAGCAAACGCTCCAAAAAAAAACCTTTGGTAAACGTTTCCAAAGGGACAAAGGACAATTCGTCAGCCATTTAGTGATAATTTGTGCCATGTGCATTGAGTGAAAATGATTTGAATCTTTTTCGGATGTCAGAAATTAGGGTCATGACTCGTTTATGTTGGTTTTAATCATCAGCATTCCAATCAAAGTGTGGTATACGGGAAATGTGCTGCATTGTCTTTGGTGGACTCGACCAGGTTGAATCTTTTCTTGGGAATTGCTATAGCTATTGGAAATATTGCAAATTTATTCGGTTGGTGAATGATTCGAATAACATATTCTCTCCATAAATGATATTATTTTGCTCTCACCTACTATACAAATTATTTCAAAACACTCTTCACCAAATGCCTTTTTGCCAATGGCATGAAATTGTCTGATGTACTAGCAGCTCGCAGAAAATTCGAAGGTATTTAAGAAACCAAATGTTCCAATTTTATTGAATAAAACCCATGTTTTATTTTGTTTGTCAAATTTATTTGATCAATTTGATGTTAGTGTGGTGAACAATTGTACGTTTGATTCCAACTTTGGACTAATTCAACGAAAACTGAAAATGAAATGAAACATTCGAATCCCTAATAGTATACAAATTCAAAAAGCAATTTCAATCTTTACTTTTTATTGAATCCGAGTCTATCGAAGACACTAGATGCGGACTGTGATTTGATTTTGTTTTGATTTCCATTTTTCATTTTTGTTCCCAAACGTGAACCGAGCGATACACGACCAACCCGATTAGCCAATTTACTGACGTCGGGTCCTTTTTTCAGCGACATTGACAAACCAATTCGGCTCTTGACAGATTTCTTATCCTCGTCTGATTTCATGGTTGATACATTTAACGGTTGCCCGTTTGCGCGCTTAACTGGTTGTTTCAGCTTAACGATTTTCTTTGTACGATGCAAGAGAGCGCTTTGTAATAATTTATCATTCTTTACAGTTAGGCCAAGACGCGCTCGAATATTGTCAGCTTTCACGAGACGGATTTTATTCGAGTGAGCTGCGACTTTTTTTCGTGATTCAATTTCAAGAATTTCATCGGTGTTTGAGAATTTTACGGATTTTTCCCCTGTTTCCATGCGCTCATATTCATCGGCAACCATGGTGGCCGCTTTGGCTGGGATGCGTTTCACTAAAATCGCCTTTTGTTGTGGTTTTGATGCCTTTTTAATGCTCACAATCTGTTTGATGGAAAAAGTTTAGATTCTTTAACAATTTCTCAATGAAATTAAGTTCTTTTATATTTGACAATTCAAATCCATTCAAGAGGTGATCGTGTTCAATGTCCAAGAGAAGAACCTACTTTTTTTGGAGCGCTCTTTAGAATTCCAGCAAATGCAACAGCCTTTTCATCGTCAAGATCCAAATCGTCACTTTTTCCGCCAAGCCGTGAGAAGATTGAAGAGGCAGATGTTGACGGCACACTATTCAGTCCTGTCACTTTGACCTGTGGTTGAGCTGATTTTTTCTTTGTTTGTTCCAATCGATCGAAGATTCCCAATTTCTTTTCCTCTTTGTCAGAATACACTTTTGAAGAATTTAAAATTTGTAATATATTTGTACATTCGGAGTGGAAAGAAATAAATATGATTTGCTTACATAGTGCTTGTTTCTCCAAAATCTGTTTACTACGTTCTGTTGAGCCAGAGGGTAACGTAATTTTGTAACGTCCTTCATGTTCAGGTAGAACACGTCTTGCTGGTTTTCTCGCTGGTTCCTCCACCGACTTCACGATTTCGTCCTTTTTAATAACTAAAAATTCCAAACTATTAGTTGCAATATCCATATTCGTCGAAAATATTAGTAAGATTTGAGATAATTTGGAGTTTACTCACTCTTTTTGGATGTTGTAGCCAACAACGGACTGACTGAAGCTGTTGTTACTGATGCTTTCTCTGCTGAGAGTATTTTGTCGCGTGTATTTTGCTCATTTACTTTCTTTGCGTGTCTAAAGGGTAAAGTGGAACTATGACTGCATGCTTTTTTCGATGTGTTGTTTACAATTGAAATTTACCTCAAAATTGATATGATGTCGCCCATCGGTGTGATTCCCATTTCTCGTAAATATTCTTTGTTCAAATCCGTTAACATATCCAAATCCATTCGATTCTCGTAAAAGATGTGAGCATATGTGGCGGCGGCCTGGCTGGGAACGCCAGCTGCTTGAAAAAATTTCACCCATAAATCTACAGGAGATAACATTGAAAAAGCATGAAAATTTACTTAAAAAACACCAAACCGTTTTGAATCATACAAAAATATCCACTTACTCGCGCTAGCAACCATTTTTATGTGTTTTTTCCGTGGCAATTTGCCCACACCAAACAAATATTTCGCAATACAGATAACGCTGAACACAGAACACGAATTGCTTTCAATGAATTTTAGAGCATGAACTTTTCTTAAAAAATAATGTATCAATCAATTTGGTATTTTTTTAGTGATTATTTCTAAATGAAGTTTCTCTTCCTACTTTGCAGCCTACGAATCTAATAATAAGTTGATGTTAAAAAAAGTTCAATTGTCAAAAACGCTAATGTCGGCCGCTTGTACGGCAGAACGGTTGTTTTGACAGTTCTCAAAGTGAATCGGTTCAGTGTGATGCGGTTCAAGCATAATGCTCGTTCACATTCGACGTGTGAAGGGACGGTTTTAATGTGTAAGTACATTGAATTATATTGAATTTGTTGTTATCGTTTCAGATAACAATTTCACGATAATTTTTTGTACATTTCATTCCACTGTAATTAATCGAATGTTAAATAATATTTGCTTGGTAAAATAACCGTTGCAAAACTTATTTTCATAGGGCATTTCTGCTTATCGTTTCTTTTGATTCAGATTTATATCAAAATGAATTGATAGGCGTATTAAATTAGAGTTGAATTTGATAAAATCATTTTTTTAAAGAAAATTATTGCAGTACGTAATCAGTCAGCTGTTTGTAACTTACTTCCTTGCACACACTCACACATATATATTTGTATACACAAACATTCGCACAATCGAAATGCCATGCATTCGATGCACACATTCAATTAGGTTAAATGCCACTCTCGCAACACAAATACATGTAAAGTGGCAATATTTACTCGTCACATATATTCACACAAACAACATTTCGTTTGGTTTGTTAGTCGTTCGCTAGTATGGGTTATTCATTTACACTTGTAGCAGTAGATTGGATCGGTTCATTTGCACAAGCACCGACCGACCGAAAATTGAATTCATCGTAGTTTTCATGTATTGCTTGTAAACAGAAAGGCCAAGTCGATGAATACGCTGTGAGGCAAGCCAAGCGAACGAAATGAATTGGTTAGATATGCTCAGTAGATGATTCTCTCTTCGCGGTGTCAGTCACTCATTCAGAGAAAATCGAAACGAGTAAACGTGTAGTAATCCGAATCGAGTACGCACGATGTTAAAACCATATTCATTGTGTACACCTTGAGTTTCATTTTAGTTTTTCAAATCTATTTTTTTCATTTTCGTTCATTTATTTCCTTTTTTGCTGCGTATACATTTTCTATATAAATGGCATTTTGTGCTTGATTTTTGCGCTGCAAGCAAATATTTATCGTGTTGCAATAAAAACCACCGTATTTTCGGGCTTATTATTTACGGGTTTGTTTGTTTCGTCCATTATTAAAAGAACGCGTTTGGTAAAACTAACATACAACAAAAAACGGAGTGGTTCGATTGTTGAAAAACAAAAAAACGATTTGATTCCAAGAGTTTAAGGGACCGAGAGAACAAAAAGCAGTGTGACAAACATTCGTCTGAATAAACAATCAAATCCAAAAAATACATGACGTTAAATATGTTAGAGAATAAAAGAGATTGTGTGAGTGAATAGCAACCCCACGATTCAATTCAGAGAAACGAAAAATCGATAAGCAATTGAGCTACTATGTGTTTTATCTCATCGGAGTGTATCAACTGAGGTCAACGCATTTTTAGAAAAGAAATTGAAGCAATCAATGTGTACTGCTTCTACCAGGCTGACTCTTCAGCCAAATGATATTTTAGTTCAATCACCGTCAAGTACAGAAACCGAATCCATCAGATTCAAGTCCAATGCGACACTAAAACGAAAATGAACTCATTCATCCGTTCCATTTTCTTTCCATACACAGGGAACAAAGTACATAGAAAACTAAAAACCCATTATTCATAGTTTGCAATACGAAAAGTACGCACGAGAATAATTACTTGGATTAAAACATTGCTTAGAAATGTGATGTTGTAACATTGGTTATTTGCACGAATGAAAGAAAAGTCTTAGTGGCAATAATCAACAATAATTCAGTGTTGTTGTGAGTGTTTTTTTTTCAACTGGAATAGAATCAAGTGAAAGAGAAACGCGTACGTGTGTGTATATGTGGAAATGTTCCAGTCGAAGCTTCCTAAACAGTACAAAGAAATCACAAATCGCCTATAACAGTTGTATGCACTTTCCTTTTCCAAGCAAACATATTTTGCAGTGACCGAGAATTTCAACGGACAATAACACAGTAAAAAAACATGTAATTGATTAATTGATTGACTGCAACTTTTGTTTCGCTTTTTAATTATCGTTTCAATTGGTCTACCGATTTAGTTTTGAAATTTGTGCGCGTTATTCATTTTTAAGTTGCACTTGTCAATCATTGTTGTCCCTAAGTTCTGGCTTCGAATTTCATTTCATAATTACATCGCAAAAATTGTGTGTTATTCAAAGAAAAAATACTAAAGAAAGAAATTCGACTAAGAAACAGTTGTATCGTTGGTGACAGCACATAGATATGGCAGTAACCATCGGATTTCAACAGGCGACTTGCGATATTTTACACAAAACCCAATTGATCGACGGCTAAATTTAGAGAAGTTTCCGAGTTCTGTACCAAAGCACACATCATAATTGGTGAATGCCGCTACGAATTTAACGAGATAGTCATAAAGAGCAACGTTTCGTCCAATTTCTTTGGCGAAACAACTTGGAAGCAACGACTCTGCGTTAGCTAGAGCACAACAGAAAAACAGGTAGGTTTTTTTCAAGCACACTAATTTCTATTTTTGCGTTTCACCAATACACTCATGATTGTGTGCGAAAAAAACTAGAAACCATTTTTTTTTGTTAAACAAAGATCACAATGTAATTGCTTGTGAAATATTTCTGTAAATGTATAACGGCATTCGCGGGCGAATGCAGTCCAATGAGACCATGGCTAATGCGATTCATCGACGAAAAACAGACACACACACACACACACACATTTAAAACTACATACGTTTCCATTCAAGAAAAATATTTGCCATTTACTGCAATTTTGATATTTCATTCAACTTTATGCCGCTCAACCCACGCCGAATTATCATTATTCGCAATAATTTCCATGGGCAATCATTTCGATTTAATTCAGACTTTTTAATTACATTTCATGATTTAACGTCGAGACCTGCATCGTTCATAGCAATTTTTTTTATGAGAAAAGCCTTTTTATCACTTTGCATAATCTTTGGATCGATTGGAATGGTTGTTTAGTTTGCACACGTTTCACAATAGCACTTGCATCATCATGCTTTGAAACGGATTTATGTCTTGAATGTCGTATTAACGTTACAAGTGTTTTAGCTGTTATAATTACAGATTATGCGCCGTGTGTGTGGCCGTGCATGAGCACATATAAACGTTTAATATCTATCTAAATCGATCCATCATAAAGTTAAATGTTATTTACTTATTTCGTCGACTGCTTTTAATCACTTCGTATTACGCGCATAACATGTGACAATCACATCCGCCTGATTGAAACAAAATCATAAGACGCTGTAATTAAATTAGCCATTAACGGATGAAAAATCTCCTTAAAACGACTCACCTACAACTTTCCAAATTATAACATAGAAAAAACCACAGACCAATCATTGCGATTTATTGGAATTTTGCATTTTTTATGCATTTTTGCTGTCCGAAAAATATTTACGAATCAGTGTATAGCAATAAAATTAGAATTTTTATGTAGCTGCTGAATGAAGTGTGTGGTCGCTGCAATTGAAATTGTTTTCATTTTTTCCGCTTTGGCTAAGGAACAAAAAGGCCATCGAAAAAAGAAAATACTGTGAGTCGATTTGTATAGCAGAGTGCATGTCGCAATTGTGAGTCGAGGCTACAAATGTGTTTGCATCTTGGCTTTGATTGCAACTACCGTCACTCTCATTGTCGTTGTTGTTGCTTACAAATTAACGTCGTGCGAACATCGAACGACAGAAAGTCGGAACACATTGCATTAATGCGGTATTATGCGCACATGATTCGATTCCCTAAAAAAGAAAATAAGCGAAGTTTTCACTTTCATGAGAATGAAGTAACAAAAGGCGGTCGCCAATAAAAAAAATCAGCACAACGACTAGACAAATGTTACCATCATCATGAAATCGCCTGCATTGCAAGAGCTCATGCATTGTTTTCGTTTGCCGTATAATAATTTCGATGCTGTTTTTTTTCCTTCTTTGTTGCCCTTTTGATGTCGCATGTTTTCGCTGAAATGTGGGCTCTCGGCTCAATTTTTCGACATAATTAAACTGATTATTGCCTCAAACATATAGAACGTTTCTTTTTCTTTGGTGTTTCATGTAATATAGCAAAAGCCGCACTTTGATTAATTCGTTCGGAAGACAAATTTACGGTAGATGCTTGACGTTCCGACTGATGTTGAAATGTGCCATTTTTTTTTTCTTAGCCGAAGATGTTGATTGCCAAACATAGATCAGTTTCGCAGACGACAGTATACATATATATGTAAGACTTTGTTTGGAAATCTTGCATTAATCTTTGTGAATTGTTTGGATTCATCTCAAATTTCTTTGCTCGATCGTGATCTGTTTTGAATGAGACCTCTGGTCATGCATTTAGTCGACTCAGCTATAAAGAGCTTCCTACGCCTGTTAATACTGTTTAAACGCATAAACTCACACACGCACACACATTTCTATCGCCCATTTAATAAATGGAATATTCGTTTCGTACTCAAGTCTTCATGTGTGTTTTTGTGTGCGTGTTGAAGATTTTGCAAAAGAGTCGAAGTCATTTGAATAGGTGACGCCGTTTTTTCTCACCTACAGCGGATCTTTTTTCTCTCTCAATGAAATAAATTGTATTTTGAATTCATTGTAGCAACTCCATAAATAATATTGTTTCTTTGAGTTTATTGCTTCTCACCGCTTTGGGTTCCGCTTAACTTGATGCTAATTTTATACTAGGAACTAGCTTAGATTACACGACTCTTGCCTCAATGCATCGTGCGCATCATTCGAGGTTGAAACATCAAAGAATTAGAATCTCATGCAAGATCGGCAAGAAGAAGTGAAAAGAAAGCCGCATGATAAAAGTCATTAAAATGAACAGCGAGAAAAACGAATAAAGTGTAATGTAATCAATTCGTCCGTTGATTTAATGGTGTTTTGATTAAGTAGTTGTGTTCACTGCTTTAGATGTAACTGAAAAAAGAAAACATCATGAACAAGTTTCAAACATAGATTGTTTTGGTTTGTTCTTTGTATTAAGGAACAAAACCATCGTAGACGTAGCAGCGTCACATGCATACTGAATGCTGTTAACGAGCAGCTCAAAACATATGTACGTGTTTCAAATAGAGTCAATTTGGACTTTTGAAGAAAACATGAATCTAAAAAAGATCCAAACTTAGTTTCTTTCCAAACTAAACTCATGTTTACCTTTTTTTCCATTCATATTTTCAATCACAGCTCATCGGTCTGTCAACTGCTTCGAGATATAAGCCATTTTCTGTTGTCACTCACTCTTATTGTTGTGTTCATTTCACAAGTATCAACATTCAAAACGGAAAGTTTTTCCTATTTTTGTACAACAACCTACGCTCCGTCTTCTTTTCTCCGTTGTGTTTGTGCATTTTGCTGTGGTTCATCTACTTTGCATTCAAACATCGTACCGTATTTTCTGCATTCGAACGTTCATTTCAATCGCATATTCTCTCGTTTGTGACCGTTGATCCCAACATATTTTACAAGCGATGTATGAAAGGGATGAGGAAATTTACATACCACAGCCCAGAACGGAAACTAAAAACAAGACAACCCAAACGAAAATTACTGTTTTCGTGTTGTTGTTGTTTTTTAAACTTCGTTTGTATATTTTATGACGATTTTGAATGATTTTACAATTTTTTTCATCTTTCCCGTGTCTGGTTTACCTTTCAGTCTACCTGAACTAGTACATATACACATATACATAAATACATATATAGTACTTCATGACGATTCACTCTCCCGAGAAATTGCCATAAACAATTTAGTTAAACTCATAATTTCAGTGTCGTATTTAACATTTCCTTGAATTCAAAAACATCCGCTCGAAAGTGCGAGAAATGAAATGACGGAAAATATTACGCTTGACTACATCTTGGCTTCCGAAATAAGAAATTTGAAACCATTACCCACGCTTAAAACTACAATTCGATGACATTCACTCGATGAAAGCAAGGGCATTTTTGTACAAAATTTTCACGAAAATTGACGCAAACACACTTCAAATCACGCATGGGTTTGCCTTGAAACTCGCATCTATCCAACGGCTTTTTTTATGTTTCTCACACAAAGGTGTCTACATCAGATAATTTTCGAGTTGACAACTTAGAATTGATGCTATTTTTTAAACGATCGTGTGAGCAACATGCTGATTGAACATTTGCATACACATACGAGTTTTTGAACGACAAGTTGAGAGCAAATCAATATTCATGTAGAACAAACACCACCGAAGTTTGCCTGTAGCACGCATAAGGTGTGGTCTTTCGCAGTTGTTTTTTTTTTTATTCAAATCGGTCAAATAATTGTATTGGCTATCGAAATGGGATTGAATGTACATGTTAATAATGGGTAGCCAACAAAAAAAAACAAGCTTATGGTGTCATTGGGCAGCACTGAAGCATACAATCGCCGATATGCGATATTATTTATGAGTGTATTATTTTTCAATATTGATTTGTATTTCGCTCTTTGACGCCAAAGGAATAACTGATTTGATTTTGGATGTTTACATGTATTTCTGTTTATATTTTGCAATCCGTCGATAGTTTTAACAAGAAAAAAGCGAAACAAACATCACCAAATTGGGACAGCAACCATGGCAGAGGACGATATGGACTGCTGTGTACGGGTAGCCGTCAGGTAAGCATTAGACATACATACTTGCTACGTGCAAATACAGCATCAACACTAATCGAACATCACATAAATTATTCAAATTAGTTTTTTTTCTCCCTCAACCATTTTGCCAAAGTGTGTGCTGTTCAAAATTGTTTTTGAAATTTAGTTGAACTGCGTGCGTTGCACCAAAAACTTACTTCTCAGACGTTTACGTGGGTAAACGTTCTTTTTCTCAATATTATATTTGACTCTCAAGTGTTTCTTTTCACGTCAAGTAAATTTAGGTGATCACCAACTTGGTGTGTGCTTCTATATAGCATTTCAATGGCGAAATTCATTTGATGACCTCATACTAGCTACGCCAGTCATTCCCTCGCCTTATTTAATTGCACGTCAAATGAAATTACGAAAAAAATCCTTCCGCCATTCGGAATCCATTCGCGCTTGTCACACAGATGACAAACAACACCAAACAAAGTAATCGAAACATTTTTCATGCTTTATTGGGACACCTAATGATCGAAAACCAATTTTACCGACCTCTTCTTTCTTTCGACGACGAAGTAAAATTACCATGTGTGATGATGGCTAACTGTAGCAACGACCAAATTGTGGCTAAGAAGCTAATCATTATCACGTACAATTTCGTTTCGGAACGATGACTTTCATTGACATTTTCGACCAATTTCGATTTCAATGACGATATCTGTGAAAAATATATTTTTTTAAATAGCATGTTGCAAAAGTGCCTCACTGTCATTTTGTATGAAAATTCTACAAAACGATTTGAGCGCTGTTCGTATGATTACATGACGGCTTTCATTTGAACTAATGTGAGGTACATTTCAAAAGTAAATTGCAACATGCTATTTCAAAGATTGAAATTTTAATCACCCAAGCGGATTAGTCCGTCTTTACAACTTTTTTTCAGTTGATTAATAACAGAATTCGTGTTTCTTTGAACCCAAAATATTGCAAAATATATATTTTTTCTGTACGCATATTGGTCGCGAGCTGCCGACTGCAGAAAGTGAACAGGTTTGACGATTAAAAAATTCAAACAAAAAAATAATATCAGCAGCAGAGACATTTTTGTATTGTTTGTTAAACAGCAGCAAAAAAACTACTCACTAGTCTCTAGTTATTTATATCTATCGCATTGTTCAGTGACTATTAGGTTACGATTGTTTTTGACAAGGTGTCTCTTCAACATTGAAATAAAATGTTTATCAAGAATTTTATCGTGTTTCTATAGCTGCACAGTTAATAATATATTATTAATTATTATTAATATTATATTATTAACTAGGCGGTATTAACAACTGATACGTTATTAACATCGCCTGTTAATATCGCTATTACTTACTAGTTAATACCAGTTAATACCGGTATTATCATACTAATATATTATTAACATGCGATGTTAATACCGATAGTATGATCATACTATATTATTATGATTTACATGATAATATTTTATAAACATCCATTTTAATAATTATTAACATTTCTGATGATATTTATTAACATCGCTGTTAATAATATGTTATTAACAGCCGATAATATCGCAAATTTTCCCATTTTTGTCGCGGTTTTTCACGGTTTCCGCGGAACTGATAGGAGATATCAACTTGGTGTCAAAGTTGTAGTACTCGAGGTCCTCTATCAGGGCAGTTATCTCTTATCTCTTATCAGTTTCGCGAAAAGCGTGAAAAATGATAAGAAAAAAAAGTTCTATATAAAA